TATCATATGTGGTGGACATGTGAAAAGGTCAAAATTTATTGGACACAGGTATGGGATTTAGCAAAAGAAATCACTCAGCAGAAGTTAGATATAAAACCTGAAATGGCATTACTGAATGTCATTTCAGGAGTAAATGATAACAAATTGAAGCATTGTCTCATGTATATACTCACAGCAGCTAGATTACTCTGGGCCCAGAAATGGAACCAGAAGAGGTTCCGACGATAGAAGAGCTGTTAAAGAAGCTATGGGATACAGCAGAACTGGACACTCTATCAGAAGCACTACGGGAACAGCCAAGAGACTATGTAAAGCAAAGCTGGGGACTAATATATTCATGGGCCCAGAAGAAGACAGGAGTTTAGGGTAAAATTTATGACATATGTATGAACCATTTAGTATATATTGTAAATCGATATAGGGAGAGTAGAGGGGCTAACGAGGCTGGAATCTTTAACTCCAAAGGGGGGAGGGGGTATTTTAAATAGAGGGATTAGCTAGGTTTTTTTTTCCTTTGTATACGTGGTCTGATTTCTTTTTTTGTTTCTGTCTCTTTTTTCTCTTTCCTCTTTTCTGGAGGAAGCTGAACGTGTCTGAGTGATTTACAGTGGTGTCTCCCATAACGAGTGCACCGTTTAACGATGAATTCGCATAGCGATCCCTTTTTTGGGATCTCTAATGCGATCGCATACCGATGCCTAGATAGGCAAAAACTCGCTTTTTTGCCCCGCATAGCGACGAATCCGTATAGTGATGATTTTTTCAGAACGGATTATCGTCGCTATGCGGGGCACCACTGTTCCACAACACCTGAAAGGGTACAGTAGTAAGACCTTCATCGAAAAAAGACCTCCCCAAATCCCACAGCGTTGGATAATTATTAGCCACTCTCCAAGATTTCATTTCCAGGCAAGGTCTTAGAGTGTCTTATGGCGTATCTTGACTGTCTTCCTCAATGCCCATGCTCAGTACTGACCTGATTATCTGCAATCAGCTTTTTCTTTCTCACATCGTAAGAAATAAACACATGAACACATAAAAAAAAATTAGCCCATGAAAACAGGCAAAATACAGATTTTAGTCAGGTTAAAGCCTTGAGTCCAAAACACATCTGACCTCATCTGATGTTGGGCACAAAGTAGAGTCAGGCTTGCTTAGCCTTTGGATGGGAGACCATGAGGGAAATGCCAGGCATCTCTAGGAAGGGCAAAAACTCTGCCTTAACTTTGGAAAACTGTTGTTGCTCATGGCAGCTGGCAATACTGATGTTTATTTTATTCCTAAAATAAACATCAGAGCTTGATGAGTTTAAATGACATAGCCAAAACCTAAACAGTCCAAGTCTGAGGAGACCTACTGAATCAAGGGGACTTGCGCAAATATTGGCTTTACATTTGGCAGTTGATTCAAAGGCTTTATTGCAGATGGGACTAGCAATGAGATCTGGAATTCAACTAAGGGTGCAGCAAAACTGGGGGGGGAGGCACCTGTGATCCAATTCTTTTCCAATCGGATTTCTGAGGGAGACAGAAATCTATGCAGGCAGGAATCAGCAGGGGCAGAGAGCTGGGTCTGCACAGCAGCACCAGCAGTTGGTGCCTTGGACAAGGCGCTAATTAAGGATGTCTATTTCTTTTATTACTTTTCCTGAAGTGCAACAGCAATAGGGAAGTCCAGTGCTGCTTTTTTAAAAACAAAAAAGAACCCTTCTTTGCAGACAACAGGTGTTCAGTTGAGGCAAACGGACTGCCCCACAAATGCCCCCTTGGCTTTGGATCAGGTGATCATGCTGGGCAGAAAGCGGGCAAAAGTAACTTGAACCCCTCCTCCCCCCTGGCCCAAAAAAAGATGACTCCCCAATGGGTTTCCCCACATTGAGCTTTAAGGCATAGAGTCACACCTGGTTTTAATTTGAAGTCATCTGTGCCTAATCCACTGCAAATTGTGGAGTAAGTGTTGTCAATGTAGTCGCCCCCCCAATCCAGCAAGATGATCATAAACCACATTCTGTGGGGACCCCGATAGCCAGAGGCTGAATATAGCGTGGAGCTTCCAATCCTCAGGGTACAGAGGCCCACCTACCTCAGGGCAAGCTTGACAACTATTTGTCTGTAGTAGGACTTACGCCTGAGTAGACCGGCACAGGACTACACTGTTGCTGGGCTCCAGAATGTCCAGTACAACAAAGCATTCAGGTGAGCAGCCGCCGCCAGTGAAGCAGCCCAAGGGACTACGAGGGGCTTAAACTTTGACCCAACAGCAAGAAGTGGAGAAAGAAGGGGCACCGGGGGGGGGAGGTTTCGAAGGGGGACCCTGTCATTGGGAGGGAGGCTGGGCTGAACCCAGTTAGAGGCCCAGAAGGAGCAGCTGTGGAGGCAGGGAGAACTTGAGAGTATTTTCAAACAGCACAGGAGATGCTGAACGGAGTGAGGATGGAACCTTGTGCCCTTTGGGGAAGACAAATAGCCACACCTGGCCGCTCTCAAGATCACCTCGTTTTGATGGGAAAGGGGGGATGGAGGCTTAGGGGAGAGCCGGGGCCATAAAATGGGCCTCAGGAGGACGACATGCAGACCCTTGCCTAGCTCTCCACAGTCTGGATTACTGCGTGTTCAGTCATGTTTGTGGTGCTGAACTAAACTGAATAATTTCCCCACATTTCTACTGAAAGCTGCATTCAAAGGAACATTGTGGAAAAATAAAGGAAAAATTAAAATCATTCCCTCAAATTGGGCCCAGGTAGCCATCAGCAAGCAGTGCAGACTTATTCTTATTGAAGTGACATCACATTGACATCATGCTCAGTTAACAGCTAAGCGATCACGTTCTGTATCAACTGAAACTCCAAGACACACTTCAAGGGCAGCCCCACGTAGAAAACACTGCAGCTGTCAAGAGAGACTACAACTATGGCATCAGTAACCGTAGCCAAATCAAGTGGACTTAGAAAAGGTCAAAGTCAATGCATTAAAAACACTTCCTACCACCCCTGTCCTGTGAGAACTCAGAGATGCTCAAAAAATGAGCCAGTTTTGGAGGTAAACCTGTATGGTCCAAAAATGTAGTGAAGGAAAATCCACAGCTGGGTCCGAGGATGCCTGTCTTTGGTCTCCGCACCACCCCCTGCCACCCTCAAATTAGAAAATGTTCCACTTTAAAGGCTGTAAGCCGGAGGGGAGAGGCTTCCCACCCGATTTCCCGATAGGCTGCATGGCCCTGAATGGCCTGTCTGTCTTCCTCAACCCCTTGCCATCTGGAGAGGAACGGCTCGGCTCTCGTTTTCCTTTTCCTTCGGCTACCATACTGTTGTTCTGACTCGCTTTGACTCCCCTCTTTCTCTTTTCTCCGGAGTGGGGCTTCTCTGTCCTGCTCCTCTTCCCTCCCCCAATCAAGGTCAAGCCCACTGGAGGGAAAAGGGGTGTCTGCCCTGGGTGGCCCTTCCCTCCATGTCCCTCCTTCTCCCAACACCAGCCCACGAGGAGAACTGCTCCCTCTCCTGCCTTCTACTCACCTCCACTCTGGTTGTAGCGATTTATTGCGATCCGCAGGTTCTCTCTGAACACCTGCTCAGTGGTCTGTTGTTTCTGGGTCTCCGTGTCCCAATACCAGGGATTCTCCGCCTCCACCTTCTTGATCCAGGCTGCTCGAGGTTGCATTCTACGGGTGTTGCTGTCATACTGAACAAAAAGCTCGCCGTCCACGTACCCCACAATGATGAACTCAGGCAGCCCCTGGTTGGCTTCTGACACTCCTGTGTAGAAATACTGCAGGGAGTGTGAGGAGGAGCCTGGAAAGGGAGGCAGAGAGGGAGCAGAATTAGGACGGTCTAGAAGATGATGTCACCCCCACCCCCACAGAAGCAGACTATCAAAGTCTCATGCATACAAGGCATGTTTCCTCTTTTTGGCGGGAATGAGAGCCAGAGACGATTTTAAAAAATGAACAAACACGTTCAACTTTATTCACTCTAACTAATTAAACGGGTCAACTAATTAAACGGGTCAAAACAACTCAATTCCGGTAAAGTCTTGTAACTACGGATCTTTACATCTGGCGTGAACAAGTTGCTCTTTACATCGGGGCCAGGCCGAAACGCTCCCGATCGGTTACCACCCTCAAGGGGATACTCCTTACCGCGCATACTGTCCCACAACAGGGGTGTCTCGCCCAGTCCCCTTCCAGAGGCAGATTGTTTCAAGAGGGACTGGGACGAATCACCTTCCTCCCTCCACCTTGGTTGTGGGGGTAGACCATCACTGCCCATTCTAGTGGTCTAACCCCCTTGCCTTCTTGCTTTGGAACGCCTGGATCTGGGAGTAATCCTCCACCGGTTTTCAGGTTGGGAAATTCCTTTGATAAATCACGGACCTTATTATAAGCGCACTCTCGTTCATCCGTTCGCACTGCGCAATCTCTCATTCGTCTCTGTGTTTGGTCCGTTTCTACTCTAAACTCCCACGCATTGTCCGACTCACAACCCCCTCCCATACTATCAAATCTTGCTCCTCCCCTTTATCTTCTGCTAGGCACACTTCTAATGCCTTCTTCTTTCTCCCTTCTTCTTCTTCTTCTATCTCTATCAACACTCCCTCTGCACATCCGTTCATCTCCTGTGTACTCTTGTTTGAGAACGGCACACTAGCCCCCTGTCCTTCACAACATATCAGAAAAATATTGTAAAATACACCTATAAATGCTGATCCACATGGATTTTAGTTAAATAGCATACATATTGCACCAATCTTTAACAGATACTTAAGTTTTTGATTAATGTTTTTATAATGTTGACTGTGCCTGGTGTTTCTGAATAATAAACATTGCTGTCATCATCAGAGGTACCTGGAGAGGAAGGGGTCTTAAAAGGCTGTCAGTTACTTTATGCCTATTCATGTTCTGAGTTTTTTATTTATTTAAAGAAACACAGCAAGGGGCCCTCCTTGTTTGTGCATGTTTGGTACATGGGTGCAAACACAGAGACATAGCACTTGCATCATCAGTTTGGCTGTCCAGTGCAGACGGTAGCCTGTGAATGATACTGAAGGAGGGAGAAAGGAAATCGCCCCCCTCACTGAAAGATCTCACAACTAGCAGACGGTGGCCTGTGAATGATGCTGAAGGAGGGAGAAAGGAAAGCAATATAGATCATTTCCAGTTCGCCCCCCTCACTGAAAGATCTCACAACTACGCGAGAATGAGAATGGGAAGCATGAAGCTGCACCCTGGAGAGTCGCATCTCCTGCTGTCTCAAGAGGGCACCATCCAGAATGTCCTCCTGATCTGGGAAAGATCTTGCGTGGCTTTCTTGCTGAAACACTCTCATCCTGCTGGAAACGGCACCTTCTACAGGGAATGTTCAGGAAGAAACCAACACAGGGCCCAAATTCGGAGCAAGAACTTGTTTCTCCTTAGTGTCCAGTTGCTGCTTTTTCCTTCCACAGATGGAATAATAGAACCTGCACTCTGGACTTTGCCTGCCTCCAGCAGAACCCTCTTTTTGGTTTATTCAAATTTTCCAAACGGCATTGGTGGATTTTGTGTGTCTGCACTACACAATCACACAGAGACAGCACAAATGCTTCCTTTTTAAAGTGTTTCTACAGGTGCTCCAGCACTAATTGATATAACAACGTGACCGTGTTACACAGATTAACTGGTCCCTTGCTTGGGAAGATCTGCAAAGCATTTTAAATCCTTTGAATTTTAAGCCCACAGAAGATCCTCCACTTTACCAGCATATGCCTGGAAGTTTATAAAGGTCCCTGGAACACGAAAACACAAACAAACAAACAAACAAACAAACACACACACACACACACACACACACACACACACACAAAATTCAAAACACTGGATCTCTGAGAAAACACACCTGTGGCTTCAAGTGGGAAAAAACTAGAGACCTTTACATAGACCTCCAAGAACTCCAAGGAGAGTTTCATGTGCCCCAGAAGAGGAAGCTCTTCCCTCTACTCTTCACCATTTCTAAGCGGATCAGCTTCCTGGACTAAGGAAGGCCAGTGGGGCTGCCCCCCGACTGCAAATGCTGCCCTCAGATGTAAGAGGGCAAAAAAGCAGTGTTTTTTTCAAATAGGGTTGTCAAGATTTGCACCTCATTTTTTAATGTTTACTTAGAGACACAAAAACATCTTATTTTCTTCTCAAAATATGTTTTTCTTCATTTCTTTTAATGTTACAGAAAAGCATAAGAGCAGCCCAGCTGGATTAGGACAAGCTTCTCTAGTCCAGCTTCCTGGATCTCAAAGAGAGAGCTGTCTCCCAATATCCCTTCCCTGCATCAGGCATTTGGAGGTCCCTTCTTAATGTTTACTTAGAGACACAAAAACATCTTATTTTCTTCTCAAAATATGTTTTTCTTCATTTCTTTTAATGTTACAGAAAAGCATAAGAGCAGCCCAGCTGGATTAGGACAAGCTTCTCTAGTCCAGCTTCCTGGATCTCAAAGAGAGAGCTGTCTCCCAATATCCCTTCCCTGCATCAGGCATTTGGAGGTCCCTTCCTTTCCTTTCCTTGGAGATTATCCCCATCCTGGCTGGTCACCTGCGATGGACTTTTCCTCCAGGATTCTGTCCAATCCCCTTTTTCAAGGCATCTAGGTCAGATGCCAGCACCACATCCTGTGGCAAGGAGCCCCACAGACTCATGTTATTGAGGGTGTGGAATTTACAGACAACAGAAAATCAAGCACAAGAGAATCTAGCTGAAAATGCAGTTCAACTAGACACAATTGCACTGCTAAAAGCAACAAAAAAAATATAGTTCAACTAGACACAACTGCACTGCTAAAGACACAATTGCACTGCTAAAAGCAACAAAATTCAAACAGAATACAGTATGGTGCCCTGCTCCTGATACCTAATGGGTAGGACAACAATCTACCAGCATGCCACCCTAAATTTCCGCTTTACTGGATTGTTGCCCTGCCTCTAGAAATCAATCCATAACATGTCCTACAAAAATTAATCATGTAACACAACTGCTGTCAATGGGATGACACATACAAGTGAGCCATTAAAATAGCCACCCCATGCTCTGCATTTTAAGAAATCATAGCCCTCATTTTCCTGGATCCAGGAAATTAAAAAACAGGTCATCTTGATACAACACGATTTTTACAAGGAATAAAACTGAAACCATCACCAACACAGAAATCACACTTCAGTGTGACAAACAGTATGACTAAACCTGGTGTTTTTGCAACAGTGCAAAAATTGTAAAAATCTATACATCAGATCCATGGTGTTGTGCCATAACAAGTGCCAAACACCCCTGTGGCTCACTCTGTGTTTGCCGGATGGTATGTGTGATTTAAATTTATTTATTTATTTATTTTCTATATTGCCAATATGGCTGTAAAGGTCACTCTGGGTGGTTTCCAAACCAATAACGACATTAAATAATAACATGGACATCATAATAATATAAAAATAGGCAATGAACAGACCTTAAAAATTAAACTAAGAAATACAACACAAAAGACTTTAATAAAAGTACTGTACTCAAAAAGGCAGGATCTGCAATTTATGAGCTCGAAGAAACGCTGCATTCTGTCCGCAGACTATTTCGGAAGACCCGACTGAATCACCAGGTTTTCCCGAGTCTCTTAAAAGTTATCAGTGAAGGGACCCTCCAGGCAAACCTCAGGCGGAAGGGGGTTCCAGAGATGTGGGGCCACCTCCAAGGCGGCCCCATTTCTGGTCTTCTCTTTCCAAACTTCTCTTGGGGTCGATGTCCTTCAACCGCTTAGAAGGGGGCAAGATCAGACTGAAAGCCATCATCCTTCCCAGGTATTGAGGAGGGCCTAGTTCCTTGTCAGATACAAGGAAACCCAGAGGACCTGGTGTTGATTTCAAGCATTCCCCCCCCTTCTCCAAAGCCCTTTTTCTACCTTACCCGAGTCCTTTCATCTTACCTACCTCAGCAAGATCTGCTCTTGGGGGGATCTGGGAAGGTCGGGGAAAAGATTTTTGGGGTTTTTTAAGCATAAAAAAGAAACCCTCCCAGTCCCGATTCTAATCTGGCCCCTCCTGCTGAGCCAGTCCGGGACTACACAGACACAGATAAACATATTCTCCCCCCCAAAAAAAAATTCTGCCCCCGTTTGCTCATCATCTCTTCCTTTATTCCGCACCTGAACGTCACCTGACGTCACACCTGGACTCAGGGGATGCTGCCTCATCCTGACGACCCTCATCATCCAGAGAAGGTGAAAGAGGGCGTCCTCTCTTCAGCTATCTAATACAGTACTATGCCGACACCATTCGGGGAGGGCGAGTCGCTCGAAAGTCGAAGGTGATTGCATTTTTTTTTTCAGCCTATGAGACCAAGAGCCCTTGAACAGCGTGGATCCGAAAGGGAACTGACTTCGGATTAAATGGCGGAACTGACACGCACACCCTTCCCGGACCTCTCCCGCCACCCAAAACCCCCTGAAAGGTTTTTATCCGTCGAGGACAAAAGCCTGAACGGTCGGGGGAAAAGTGGATCCAAGAAAGGGAGCGACTCCGGATACCTCGGAAAATCAAACTTCGACGCCACTTCTGCGGTTCTCTCCCCCCCCTTTTCTCACGTTACTCACCCTCGCAGCCCCCCAAGAGGAGGACGAGCGCCCCCAGGAGCAAGGCGGGCACTCCGGGCAGCCTCATTTCATTCTCAAGGCCGAACCTCGTACTTTTTCCGTTGGGTTTAAGTTTTTAATCCGGAGCCATACCGAACGCTCACTCGCAACCGTCGCCTGACCTCTTCCCTATTTCAGACAGAACTGCCAGGATTGGTGGAAGGGAAAACACTGGACCAATAAGCTAAAAGAGTTTTGATTTCGTCAGTAGTTGCTACCCAGAAGACCCACCGCCAGCGAGCGTCTGAAAGCTGGAAAGGGAAAGAGAAAGTTGGGGGTTTTCCGGGAATCCCCGCGAAGGGGCTCCGCTTGGAGGGAGCGGCGTTTGTGCGGAGGGGAGGAAGGAAGGGACGAGGGCCCCCCCCGGGGGGTCGAGGGGGAAGGGAAAGGGGGGCTTGTGCCCGGC